GAAATGGATACTCCCAAGGTAAATCGTATCTCTCGTCGTCTCGTATAGTTGAAATAATAACCGATAAAGTACAAACATAGATAATACTACAACGTAGAAATCGTTTTAACTATTTCTCATTCGTATCCTCCGTGTCTCGTTAATATTTTATATATATATATATTTCTCGTCACAATTTTGAGAAAGACATAAAAATTAAAAGAAATAAATAAAAACGCGCGCGCACGAACATACACACACAAACACAAACACAAACACACACATATATATAAGCGCGCGTGCTTACATACACAAGGAACAACGAAGAAGTAGAAATGGAAGTAAAAGTAGAAGAAGAAAAGATAAGAAGATCAGAGGGGTGGATCCAAACACTCAAAGGCAACTCGAAGAGTTTACTACGAGTGGCCGTTTGGGAACGATCGGTTGGCGCCAGGGGAGGCATAGCTTCTTCCTCACAATCCCCTCCCCTTCCACGTGGCACCCTCCGACACGCTTCATCCTAATAATTCTACTACTCGTTCTTCTAGCTTACTACAATAGACAGAACACATACGATTTTCCACGAATTGTCTTGAATCGTCACAAATCCGTCTTCATAAGTTATCGTAATACGTGAGACTCGAGATATTTCTCATTGAAATGTCATCACCTTTGTGACATTTTTTTGGGGTGGGATGGGGGGGGGGGCGGGGAGATTTCTTGTTCTTTTTTTCCTTTCTTCTGTTCTTTTTTATTTTCTTGAAAAAAAAAAAAAAAATAAAAGGAAAAGGAAAAAGAATATAACCTTTTCTTTGTCTCATCCTCTTTCTTTTTCTTTCTTTTTTCTTTTTTTTTTTTTTTTTTTTTTAAAGAGAAAAAAAGAAAAACTTTTCTCATTCGAATTTTTTAATGCGAAATAAACGATCGCGCTATTGTACGTACTTCGTCGTCATATAACGGGGAATAAAAGAAGAAAAGGATGGAAGAAAGGGAGAAACAAGAAAAAAAAAATAAAAAAAAAAAAAAAAAGAAGAAAAAAAGAAAAGAAAAAGGGAGGAAATAAATAAAAGGGATAAAGTAGGTTTTCGTACTCGACAACGTTCGGTTCTATTTGTTACTAAGAAAAGAAGAAAAAAAAAAGAAAAAAAAAAAGAAAAAAAAAGAAATAGGAGATACTTAGAAGACGTTTATTTGTCCGTTTGCCACGAGATCCGGAACGCGTCACTTGTCGCCGAATAAAATTGAACTCGATTAAAGTCGTGGCTTGTTCCCTCTCGTGACTCCAAATTTTCTCTTTCTCTACGAAAACGAGAGAGATAGAGATAGAGATAGATAGATAGAGACATATATATATATATAGAGAGAGAGAGAGAGAGAGAAAGCATTAAAGTGCACGGAATTCGACTAGGAATCCTGAAGCAAGGTGCAACGTTACGGGCCATAGACCGCAACAGGGGCGTAGATAAAACCACGAGAGGGTGGTCCGTACGGAACGGAGACACTCAATGATTAGATGAAGTGCAAGAGGGTTGGAAAAAGGGAAGGATAGAAAGAGAAAGAGAAGAAGAGAATACATACATATGAGAGAATGAAAGAAAGAGAGAGAGAGAGAGAGAGAGAAAGAAGAAAATCCTAGTATTTCCTCTTCGTTCATTTCCATCTCTCTCTCTCTCTCTCTCTCTCTTTCTTTCTTTTATGTTCTCCACCATTCTCTTCTCGATTTTCTCGACAAGCAGCAGCCATAAAAGAACCCTTTGGTCCTTCCTTATATTCGCGAATCCGACTTTTCACGTCGATCGATATCCTCATCTGTTTCGTTCGAGATAGATACGTACGGAAATAAAATGAAAGGTAAGAAAAATGAAAAGAAAAGAAAAGAAAATTCATTTTGGAATCTCGGTTAGATCATTCCATGGCACGCAGCTCTAATTAACGAGCTAGCACGTTACTAAGTGTTAGTAATAATAATGGCGATGGTTGCGATGATGGCGATGATGTTGATGGTGGTTATGGTGATGGTAATAGTGACGGCACGAGCTCGAAGAAACGTTACTTTGAAGAAGAAAACACGATTGTTTATTCCTTCCTTCGAAGAGTCTCGCTTCCTCGGCAGCACTGATAAAATCTCTGACTGTTACGTGAAACGGGCCGACGAGTCGTTGCACTTAATTAAATTGCCGATTATGCTCGTTATACGTAAAATACGTATAACTAGCCGCGCGAGGATGCCCGGACTCGTTATACATACGTAGTACTTATTTACTTACTTATCTATATATGTGTAAATACGTATACACGCTCCCTAAATACGTATACGTAAGGTAACTTCTATTTACTCGTAGTTACATTTCTATAAGTTTCGCGGAAGACACGCGCCACGATTTTCATCGCGAGCGAAATACGAAATGCCTAACGATTTCACCGCGGAAGACGTGCTTGGAGACTGTGCAAGAAATCGTGATTGATTTTTAACACTATATACATATATATATATATATATATATATATATATATATATATATATATATATGTAATGCATACTTGCAATTTTAAAAGACGAATAAACGTATTATTTCTAAACCTCTGAATTTTTCTTTTCTCTTCTTATTTTCTTATCTTTTCATTTTCATTTTCTTTTAATCAAAAATTTCTATCAACGTAAAAGTTATATATATATATATATATATATATATATATATATATATAATATCCTTTCGTCGATATAATACTCATTAGTTAATAATAATAATTATTCGTATAAACAATATAAATGTCGAACGTGTTAAATATCTATTATTATCATTTCGTAATAATTCAAGCTCGTTTTCTTTCTGCATAACAACGTTTGATACCTTCTAATCACCCTAGAGCCTAACCTTGATAAGGATCGCTGCTAATTGTTGCGAATTGGCGAAGGTGGCGAACGAACGAGGGAGTTCGGGCAACAGGTGTCCTCTGATTGATCGCCGTTACTCGCACCCTCACGATTACCTAGCCCACAAACACATCCACGACAGAAACGAAGGACTTAATGTCGATCCATTACGAACTGGCCCATCCCGGTGCGGATTCGTTGACCCACCACCGTTGACTAAACCCGTTGCAAAATGAGACGAAAAGAGAAAATGGAGCTGGTAATGCGATTCCATTGAACGTATCGATGTCTCTCAGGACGCATTGAACTTTTTTTTTTCTTTTTTTCCTTTTTTTCATCGACAATTTTTAACCGAAGCAAATAGATTTAGTTCTACTATTTTATTTCTTCGAATTCTAAAATATATATATATATATATATATATATATATATATATATAGTATTCTTCGATCGTATTAACGTATAAAATTAATAATAAATTAATTGAAATATCGTTCTATCTATTTTCGAAGATGCATTGTTAAAATTCATTATAGAATCTATAAACTACGTTACATTGGAAATTATTTATGAGATTAATAAAAAAGAATTTCTTTTTTCTTTTTTTTTTTTTTGGAACATAAGTCAATGCGTCGTAATAAAATAAGCTAACTATAAATATAATTCTTTTTCAATTAAAATAATAAATAATATCAATACAATTCAACGTTAAGTATATAATTATTTTATCGGCTATTTAAATAATAATAAAATATTCATAAAATTATTACGATTACTTAGGTGTATCTATGAGATTATTATACATCAATGGGGATGACAAATGAAAATCTCTTTTAAAACGTTCGATGATGATATATAAATAAATAAATAAATAAATAAATATATATATATATATATATATCGAGCGAATGAATAGATCTAAAAATAAGAAAAGAAAAATAAAAACGAAAGAAAAAGGAAAAACAAAAAAAAGCGAGAAAAAAAAAAAAAAATCATTAAACCCCGTTGATTTCCGTGTGTTAAGAGATGTATAAGGAAGGGCGAAAGGGCGTAGCCGTCGGTCGTTGGCGCCTCGTATGAACTTCTTCCGCGAACCGAAACCGGTGTTGCGAGGAGCAGCACGCGGCGAGATTAACGGCGCTGCCGCGAATATTCACCGAGGTAATTGATACCGACGTCCAACCGGCTGACCATTCAAAGCGCACGCACGATATATCACGGATAATAAGCGCGGGTTGCATGCTCGAAGGAGAAGAAGCAAGTTAAAGGAGAAACGAGGGGAGAACTGTTGCCTCGGCTACTTCTATCCTCTTTCGTTGTCTCCTCCTTCTCATCCTCTTCCTCCTCCTCCTCCTCCTTCTTTTTCTTCTTTGAGTACCAAAGGCTTCCTCGAGAGTTCTTCTTCTCGTTTACGATTACACGCTGGTTCCGCAAAGTCACGTTTGCTATTCTACGTCCAAGAAACCCCGAGAGAGCTGTCAGGAACAATGCCGATACGTCGATAACATATCCCATCTACGATATATACATACATATGTATCTAACTTGTTCCTTTCCAATAAGAAATAGACTTCCCAAGAGAGAGAGAGAGAGAGAAAGAGAGAGAGAGAAAGGACAATAATCGAATCGTCTGATCGGTAATTAATCATCGTTTAGTCGAGAATTTATTTTTGGATTTCATGAATCCTCATCGTATGAGAAACAAAATCGACGTTAACGAGATCGAATGATGCCCAGTATACTCCTATTATGAATATGCTAACGAACGTAAATGCCTTCGTAACAACAAGTTTGAATAATATCAATTATGTAAGAGAATGAACTTGTTGAATTATTTAAATTATCATTATACGATCTCTTTCCAGATTTCCTTAAGGATAATTTCCGTAATAATGATTACTTGAACCCTTGTAATATGATTTTGAAATTGTTAAGATATCTCTTTGGAATCATCCTGTATAATATACATACATATATATACATATATATATATATATATATATATATATATATTATATTATATTATATAACGTCTTTCGTGCGGCAAAGTTCTCTCGATGGTGCACGAGCGTAAAGTATTGAGTTATCGGGTTAAGAGTCGAACTGAACCTACCAAGAGTACCTACTGGCGACCTATTGTTCGCAGAATCGTGAGAAACAAGGCGGCAGAAAAGGCGAAGCACGCGCATCAGCAACAGCAGGCGCAGCAGCAGCAAGGTCAGCAACAAGGTCAGCCAGGATCAGGTGGTTCCGTGTCGGTGATAGCCCATGCACCTGCCACACCGGCGGGTCATCCTGCGGCCGCCGCTCCCAATGCCTACAGCATCAGTGGCATCCTCGGAATCCCCGCACACCATCAGGATCCAAACGGCAATAGTATCAAGAGAAAGCGAGCCGATGACGGTGAGTCATTCAGCTACTTATTTAAACCTTATCGTAAAACCTTCATTATCCCTTTTAGATTTATTGAAAATCTACATTATTATCTTCTTCAAATTAAATTTCTACACATTTGAATCTCTAAATTGTTTCTCTTTTTTTCTATTTTTTTTTTTTTCTTTTTTTTTTCATAATTAAAAACAACCGGTCAATTATATCAATGAAAAATATAATTAATTATAATTAAATAGACAATAATTTATTATTGTTTTTTTTTTTTTATATAACTAATTTTTTTTCTTTCTTTCTTTCTTTCTTTCTTTTTTCTTTTTTTTTTTCGTTCTTTTTTTTTCATATTTATGAGATCTCACTTGTTATCTAAACGTGAATCGTTATAATATAAAATAAGTAATACTTTAAACTACGATACCAAGACGTATATACATATGTATATATGTATCTTGAATTAACGATTCGAATTTATAAGATTTTTATATAACTATTTATTTATAAGATAACTTATTATTAACTTAGACACAATATAATAGAAAATAAGCGATCCTCTAAATTAACGTATATATATATAACGTTGGTATCTATCGTGTCTCTCTGATTAACGATCCCAATTAAATAAACCAAATATTCTAAATCTATTCTAGATCGAATCTGGTAACACTTATCAAGATAATCGAGATTCTTGGTAATAGTTTATTTTATTCTCTAAAAGCGATAACATCTCTTTAAGAAGGCGAGTATAGTGGCAAGGTGCCTGTACTCGACTGACTCTCCAAGCGAACGAATAAAACTGTTTTCGAGAAGGAAATAGAGAGAAGGAGAGAACGAGAGAACGAGAGAGAGAGAGAGAGAGAGTGTAAGAGAGAAAGGGAGAAAAAGAGGGAGTACTTATTTACGAGCGATCGGGGTTACCGCGAGAGAGAAGGTTGTCGCGGCTCGAGTAAGATTAGCCACACACACGGCAAGGTTATCGGTCAAACGTCGTACAGCACGTGCTGCGATTCATTCTGCTGTCATTGCGTGAATAACGTGGCCCGAAATATTCCTGACACGTGCCGTACACACGTGACCTACGACGATGCGTTCGCGGAAGCAAAGAGAGCAGGAAAAAAAGAGAGAGAGAGAGAGAGAGAATACGTCGAATTTATAAACAATTCGTTATCCTTGATTTAGTAAGGAGCAATAATTTTTTATTTCCTTTTTTTGTCTCTCTACACGTTAAAACCTTCGAATAATTCTATGAGAAACTATCTTATCGTTAGAACGGAGAACTTGTATTATTCGAAATAATATTGGACTGTTTCGTAATCAAAAAATATAAAAATTATTTAATACATATATATATATACATATATGTAAAAAAGTTGTGACAAGAGACGCGTTATGTTTAATATTTGATAACAATATTTGATAACGCTATTTCTTTGCACGACTATTTTTTTTTTTCTTCCATTTTTCCTTTCTTTTTTCTTTCTCCCTCCTACCCCCCGCACCCCAACAAGTTACAACCAGACCAATTATTTCGAATTAAATAATTTTCGAGGAAACATCGAAATGTCAGTTTTAACGTGTCCCGTTTCAATCTAATAAAATTCTTTTTTTTTTTTTTTTTTTCGGAAAAAGCATAACGACGAAGAAGGAAACATAACAAAATGCACGGACTTGAACGTATTCTACGAATGGATTATAAACGATGTTCTGAAGTTTCCTACATAGGTATATACATGCATACATATATGCATACAGATATATATATATATATATATATGTATATATATATATCGATTCGTACCAATGCACGAACCGGCACCGATGATACACGAGTAATTCGATATAATCGGATTACGCGAGCGACGGATGCGGTCGCAAAAGTGGTCGCGTCCGCGGCGAAAGCACTCAATGTTTTGTGGCCGCGGAGGGTGTACGTATTAGATTATAAACTTCACAGACCACAGCGGTTTCTATATCTCGACCCAACGACACATTAGTCTCCCTGTTTCTCTCCGGGGATATTATCGGCTGGTATACAATATACATACATATATACGTATATACGTATAATACATAGAAACACAGTGCCGGACCTCTTATCGTCGACTCTTTCGAAATCGTTCTATTCAATCACTTTTCACTTTGTCTCGTATAAATCAATTTCATTATCAACTAATTCACATCTCGAGTTACTACGAGATATTGTACTACACGACAGTGAATAATGTCTCATACATTAAACTTAGTTATTTAATGCGAATTTTCTTCAAATAAATATTAATAGAAATTATTGTGCTACGTGAGTTGTGTATTTGGTAATAATAGAAGGAAAAAAAAAATAAAAAAAAAAAAAAATAAAAAAATAAAAAAAAAAAGATATACAGCGTACTCTCTTGCAGTAGCAATAAAATATCTATAGGGAGTAATCTTTTTTTATACATTTTTTATCGAATGCTTTTATAAAGTAAAAAAAAAAAAAAAAGAAATATAAATGAACGCATGCATTTTGTTGATTTATTTATCTGATACGCATCCTGTAAATAAAAATCTACCAATCCTAGTTTCGACAAATTTAAAAAAAATATATATATATATACATACATACGATGAAATATCGAGCTTCGTGATTTAATGGCGATTTTATAAATCTGTTAACAAATAGCTCCAGGATTGGTCTTTGATTTTAATAATATTTAATAGACGCATATAGAGGAAACAAATTGACAAAATATATACGTACATATTTATATACAGATCTTAAGAAATATATATTGCAATTACTTTAAAAAAAAGAAACATATATTATATATATATATATATATTTGAATCCAAAAAAATTGTTTTTAAATTAAAAAAGAAAAAAAAAAAAAAAAAGAGGAAAGGTCAAAAAAATCTACATAAGTAAGTAAATACGTATACGTACTGTGGATACGTAGATACGAACGATTCGAAAATCTTACATGGAAAGAAATTATTTATACTCGAGACGATCGAAGACTATCCCGCCGCCGAGGTTTCGGTTCTGTAGCTTATTACGAATTTACGAAGAACCTCTCGAGGGAAGCATTGCAATCTATTGGGGCTGTTTGTTGTCGCGTTACATCTGCGCGCTTTTCGCCCTACGTAGAATTCCAAAGGCCGTCCGTATCCCACCCTACATAGCACGTTATATACGCATATACATATAAACATGTACATACGTATATACATATACAAACATATATGTATATATATATATACAGATAGATATATGTATATAAAGATGTACACACACGATTGGTCGTGAACGACAAAGTTAGAGGGGACTCGCAACGGGACCAGATTCACCCCAAAGTCCATTATTACCCGTGTATTGTATTGCTTAACATTGACTCAATTGCTTTCGAATAACGTGCTTGCTCGCTCGCGAGTTCTTCTCTAGTTGCCCTCACGAGCATCAATCGAATCATTCGATTTACTGCTCTTTTTTTCTTCTCTCTCTCTCTCTCTCTCTCGCTCGCTCTCTCTCTCTCTCTCTCTCTCTCTGTCTTTTTTCTCTCATGAATTGCCATCAGGAAAAAAAAAATAAAGAAAAAGGGGGACAGTATGCATTTTGACCTTACTATTGAACGACTCGTAACTTGTGTCATTTTGGGACATCGGTCAATTCGAAACAGAGAAGGAAAGGAAAAAAGAAAAAGAGAGAGAGAGAGAGAGAGAGGGTGGATGACTATAAAAATTTGCATTAATCGTTTTTCCATCTCCTTTATATAGATATATACATATATACACTTATTCGTTATGAAGTTTCACAGGGTCATTTTTGAACAAATTATATTTTTTCGATATCGAACAAATAGAATATTAGAAATAAATCGTTATATTATAACACGAAGTAACGTTTAGAAAAAATATTCGTACGGATTGACAAATCGACACGATCGTAATTAACGTGAACTTGAATAAGATATCACGTGCATGATCGAAAGTAATAAACATATAGCTAAACGATCGGTATTCATTGTTAATCCTTACGAATAATAACGATAACGAAAGTGCATAACGAAATAGATCATTGCCATCAAAACAAAAGGTTGACTCGTTCCGGCAGGGAGAAAAGTGGAAATCCCAGAACGGTAACGCGGTGTACGAGTGGCAATAACCGAGGGAAATCCACGTAGAAAGATAGAAAGAGAGATAGAGATAGAGAGAGAGAGAGAGAGAGAGAGAGAGAGAGAAAGAGAGGTAACTTTAGGTTGTGAGGGTGGATTAACTCGGCCGATCGAATCGTAAAATTCAAGCAAGTGCCATGGAAAAGAGAGTTGGAGGTGGTATTCGCGTGCAGAAGGAAGAGAGAGAGAGAGAGAGAGAGAGAGAGAGAGAGAGAGAGAGAAATATAGAGTAAAAGTAAATGTGTACAAACATATATTGGTGTAGGTGTAAGTACGTATTCGGTAGATGGTAGTCTCACGTTTGAAACGGGGCTTTTATAGCGGTCCAGGAACGAATCCTGCCGGTCGAATGGTCGAGACCGGCCGGACAATCACAACTTGACAGGGAGGTTTAACGAGCCCTATGCTAGGCACCACCAAGCCCATCCTACCTCGTCTCTCCTACCCTCGGATGGTCATTTAATTATTCGAGATACCCCGTACGTTGGACCTCCACGTCTACTACATTGTGGAACACTGTCCATACCTTCACACACATCCCCTTTCGCGGCTTTCGTTCTACGGCGGACTCGTTCGGACCAACCGAAAGGGTTGTAGAGTAAAGGGGGTGGTAGTAGAGAGAGAGAAAGAGAGAGAGAGAGAGAGAGAGAGAGAGAGAGAGAGAGAGAGAGAAAGAGTCGAGTGACCAACACATAAAATACCTAGACATGCCTATATATGATCGTACGTGTGTACGTATGTAGATATATATGTGTATGTGGGAGTTGCGTCGTCGTCGTCCCACGTGTCCCGTGTTTCTATATTAAAGCGACGCGGGATGGCCGGGAGATAATAAAGACATATAATGGAATCGAAATTGTTTCTCTATCTATCAATGCCATACATCGTCTCTCTTCGCGAGAAACGCCGGTCGAGCATTCGCGACCGGAGCGACAGATTCAATTTAGTTTCGAGGGCCAGCTTTAATTCCCCGTCTTGATATGCAGCTGGCTAATACGACGAGATGATCGACTAGAGATCAATTCTCTTTCTCTCTCTCTCTCTCTCTCTCTCGCTATCTCTCTCTCTATCTCTCTGTTTCTCTGTTTCTCTCTCTCTCTCTCTCTGTTTCTCTCTTTTCCTATGAAAAACAATTTCTCCGTTGTTCTGGTTGAACGTTAGAAACATCCTCGAACGTCGCAAAGTATACGTATATACGTGCGCGTATAAATATACATACATATACACACACACACACACACACACAAATTAGGTAAAGAATCTCTTAGAAACGTTCGGCATTCTCATTCAAAAGTTTTCATTGCAGACGACAATCGTGACTTGGGCGATCATCCGGAGGACGACTTGAAGAGACAGCGAAGTAACTACAACGGCGACCAACTCTACTCGAACGTGAGTGAACGAAGGAAATCAGTTTTTCTACTTGATCTTGAATCTCCCCTACTCTTCCTCCCTTTTTCCCTCTCATTCTCCCAATAGACACAAACGAATATACGTACTTACTTACTTACTTACTTACTTACTTACTTACTTACTTACTTACTCACTTACTTACATACCCAACCATCCAAACTTCGTACAGTTTACACACAGTAGATAAAAAAAAAAACAAGAAAAAAAAAAAAAGAAAAAAAAAATAAGAGAGAAAGGAAAAGGGAAAAAAGAGAAGAAAACTAAAACTCGTGATCTTCTTCTACTTCTTCCATTCTGTTCGCAGCTGTGGTCGAGTAAATGGAGCATCAAGGACGAACACAAGCTCCTGAACGAGCTTGGTGGAGGAGGCGGAGGTGGCGGTGGAGGCGGTGGCGGTGGCGGCGGCGGCGGCGGCGGGGGAGGCGGTGGTGGCGGTGGCGGCGGCGGAGGTGGTGGTGCGAATGGTACGACGAACGCAGGTGGTGGAGGAGCTGCTGGTGCCGGTGGCGGAGGTGGCGGAGGTGCAGGAGGCGGTGGTGCCTACTATGAGCATGCCGGATTCCCCGGGAACGCGATTGCCACCTCCGCCGAGCTCTACGACTCCCTGGGCACCATCAGTACGATGACGCAGGCGCAAACGCCACATCTCTATACCCCGCCCATAGGGGGCACCATAGGTGAGAGAGAAAGCGAATCTACCCTCTCTACTTCTATCTATCTCTCTCTCTCTCACTCTCTCTCACTCTCTCTCACTCTCTCACTCTCTCTCTCTCTCTCTCTCTCTCTCTCTCTCTCTCTCTCTCTCTCTCTCTCTCTCTCTCTGTCTCCTTCTCTATATTTTTCTTTATCTCTCTCTTTCTCTCGCTCTTTCTATCTCATTCTGTCTCCCTCTCGCTTACTTCGACCAACCCTCGTAAGCCACGAAATCCTGGATAGTGTGTATACCGCAACCCCTTATACGTGTATATAATACGTCTCTACGCCATGAACCCACTTCATCCCCTCCCTTATTCTCTCTTACTCTTTCTCCCTTTACTACATCCACCTATATACGCGTTCATCGCGCTGTTCTCTTACTACGTTTCCATCCTCTTCTCTCCTTTCTCCTTCCATTCCTCCTCCTCCTCTCATTCCCCGTACGCTTATTATTGCGGCTTACGTCTTGCTTTGCATACCCATATCGGCTAAATACATGGCTTTAATAATGCATGAGTTGTGCCGAGGAACGGCGGCAACGGCCGAAGAGGTGGCGGAAGGCTTCACTCGGTGGTTCTTTCGGAATTTTCAACCTTCGGGGAATTTCTCTTCTTCTCTTTCTATGGTTCTCTCTCTCTCTCTCTCTCTCTCTCTCTCTTTCTCTCCTGCTCGCTCTTTGCTCCCAGCTTTTACAGGGAACATCTCATTCTTCTTCTACTTTTTCGTATTTTATTTCTCTCTCTCTCTCTCTCTCTCTCTCTCTCTTTCTCTATCTCTCTCTCTCTCTCTCTCTCTCTCTCTTTCTCTATCCTTTTTCTCAGTCTATCGACCATCCCTCTTCGTATCATCATGTTCAAGCTCTCACCATCTTTCTCTCTTTCGTTCTCTTCAAAAGCGACGGTCGATCAACAGCAGAACGTATACCTATCTATATTTGTCAATATATATATATATATATATATATATTGTATTTACATAAATACCAATCTATGTTGTACCCACGCGTGAAAAATATATCGCGTGGACTTTTCTGTAATGGTCGAGGACGAGTTTACTTTCGCTCATCTAGTGGCAACATGTTGCAAGTAACTCGGTCAGAATTGCACGACGAATTCATTTGGTTTATCCATTGCTGTTGCTGTTCTATTCTTTAGCAACGTTGATGCCGATCCTAATACTGATACCGATGCTTTCGCGGAATGGACGAAGCGAGCCGTGTAACGGCCGGTTCATCTCATGAAATTCAATGGGAAAATCTTTTTACGGATTTGCGAAGAAATTCTCTTTGGGTTAGGGATGGCCAACGAAGAAAGCTGGCCCAAGTCTTAAGTGACTCGTCGTAATTGTTAAAGATACCATTTTGGGAAGAGTATTAAAATAACCGGATCTTAGATTAACTGATTGATGATAATAATAATAATAATAATAATAAATCACGTTATTAAGAAAACACGTTCCGCTTTGATCGATCGATAACGACATGAGAATTGGAATAACGGAAAACTGGGGATCCCTTAATACAGCAGGTGGTACTTTGACGCCGCTCGCTCCACTGACGATGCAAGCATTGGACGGGGCTAACATGTCTCCTTACCACGCCACCGGTGAGTTCGCCACCTCTTTAGTTCTGTTTTTATTCTTTTTGTTTCTTTTTTTTTTTTTCTTCTTCGTCTACAATTTGTTGCCTGCTCGTGTACGCTCGTAAGTACGCTGAGCCTTATAGGTATTATTTATATTTCAAGCCTGAACACGTGGCTTTCTCCTAATACGTTCAAGTTCTATCGATGTACGATTGTGCGTTTTATTCATTATTACGTTATATATCCTATTCCAAATCACATAATCAATTTCCTTGGAAATCTTTACGTTTGTCTTTTCCTTTCATTTGAAATGAACAGATTTTTCTTTTAATCGTTATCCTATCCACCACCTATTCCCATCCTCCCGCAACCCTCATCAACCTTCCAAGGATCAAAATTCCAATGTGACTTCCAAAATAATAAATTCAACCCCGTATTGGGGTAGAAGAATTGAATAAAGCTTTAGACGTAAGGCGCTGATCGTTAGCTAGTGCTTGACTCGAATGTCGTGTTGTGTTGTGCATGGCCATAGCAGAGAGCGGTACCGTCGCAGTCTCATACGTAGGGGTTGGGGCCGGCGGGGGCGAGCAGAGTCCACCGATTTCCTTGCAGAACGAGACGAACGCCACCCCCGCGGCCCCCAACACCCCGGGAGGGGATCCCGGACTCACGGTCTTGCAGCCGCCAGTTTCTCAGCCTCAGGTAGCCTCTGCGATACCACCGTACTCGACGATGCTTCCAAGTTTCGGACATTATGCCACCGGTGAGTATACGAATGAGCGTGCGGCGAACGAGACCGTTGACCTTGGGTAAAAGACCCTCCGAAGGTCGAATCACGTGACCGCAACGCATTCAACCGGATGATAAGTCAAGGATTACAAGGTTGACGTGATCCCTGACTTACCGACCGACGAATCGCGACATATAACCCTTTCAAGGATGAGTCGATAACGCGTACGACAAACCCTTCGTTCAACGGATGGTAAATGATCGAATTTTATCGCATACCCAAGACGTTACATATTACCGATTGAAATAATTGAAGAAAAAAAGAAAAAAGAAAAAAAAAAAAAAGAAAAAGGAAGAAAAAGAAAAAGAAAAAGAAAACAAACAGTAAGAAATATTTTCACCACTCGAAATCGCTTTTTTTTACATTCGCAAAATTAGATTAAATATAGTGTACGCTTATGGCTGTTATTGATACACGACACACAACGTTCGCATACGCGATAAACACGTTTGTTTTATGTATATCTCTGTTTGTTTGTAAATGTAAAAGTTGTGCATATATAGATCCGAGAATCAATTCGTTTGTTTGATTGTCTTCTTCGATGAATTGGATCGAGGAGGAGGAGGAGGAGGAGGAGGAGATGGAGCTGATCGTCTCGTTAATGATTAAAGTAGAAAACGTTTTGATATTCTTCTTTTCTTTTCTTTCTTTTTTTTTTCTTTTTTTTTTTTTTTTTACGAAAAGAGATATCACCACGAATGATATTTAATATATACGAATATCGAATGTGTCTGTTCACAGGTGGTGGCGATTACGCGTACAGCGCCGCGTATTCTCAATATTCGAGTGCACCGTACAGTGGATATGGCTATGGAGCAGCGACAAGCGGGTTGCTCAGTAAGTAAACAGTGAGTATGAGTACCGATTAGCATAGGGTCAACGAAATATTCAAAAAAGAAAAAAAAAAAAGAAAAACAAACAAACAAACAAACAAAGGAAAAAGAACGTACATAGGCGGAACATACACGGGTGGAAAATTGATTTATAATTTGTACGAGAAGAAAATTTATAAACGACGGTGGTCATATCGAATTCTACGATCGAATTAATTCGTATCCCAAAGATCATTATCTATTTAATAATGAAACAATGAAAATGACATAAATCTCATAACGATATTGTATTTCATGTCTGGCATAAATTAACGATGAATACCTCTTCTTTTTTTTTTTTCTTCGTTCTAAAAAAAAAAAAAAAAAAAAATAAAGAGAGAAAAAGAAAAACAACAACAACAACTTCTTCGACGTAAAATCAAACCACACAATACACAATCGTATCATATTACGTACCAACCCTCTATCTACTGTTTCATGATACTCGATTAATTACAATTTGTCGTCCGATAGATCGGATCGCGTAAGATCGGATCTATCTTGATATCATTGAAATAAAACAATCCATTGTCTGTTGTTAAAATAACGTAAAAACGAGGAATAAAAATTATTAAATACGATAGATAATCTCGATAACGTGAACGCCATTAATCTCGTCGATACGAACACGTAATTATCGAATTATTAAAAATGAAAAAAAAAAAAAAAAAAAAAAGAAAAAAGAATTCGATCGACACCGAATGATTTCGTTAGACACGATGATTAGTTGAGACGTGACGATTCATAATAATTATAAACTGATAGAAATTGATTGACAATAAAATGATTAAAGATCATCTGAAAATTTTTCTATCCAAATAATATAGATTCCACGTACTACTATTGCAACGGGGATACGCTGGCGTCTTCCCAAAACAATTCGCAAGCGGCCGGCGCGTGCAACAATAATGGCGGCGGCGGCGGCGGCGGCGGCGGCGGTGGTGGCGGTGGTGGTGGTGGCATTGGAGGTGGTGGCGGAGGTGGAGGTGGTGTCGGAGGTGGTGGTGGTGGCGGTGGAGCAGATAGCAACACGGACGTGGCTAGTCGTTCGCCTCTGGCAGCCACCAGAGCAAGTAGCGGTGCGAGTGCAGCATCACCGACTGGTAGCGCCTGTACCAAACCAGATCATGCCTCTACACCGACCGACCTATACTTGGCTTGATCGGTAAAAGTCTCACGTGATACCAATGTGTAAGGGACCGATCGGCAATAACGGACGCCATATCATTGGAGGGAAGAAAGAACGAAAAAAAAAAAAAAGAAAAAAAAAGAAAAATCTGAAAAAAAAAAGAAACAAAGAAAGAAACTCAATGAAAACGGTCCTATCGACCTCTATGATCTCCTCGACGAGTTTACACTGCGAGAACGATGAACGAGGGATACGAAATGAGGATGAGGGATTAGGGACGAGAGAAAAGGGGGGGGGAGGAAAAGGTGGGGGAGGAAAAGGTGGGGGAGAGGGGAGATATTAAACGAGAGAGAAAAGTTTCGAGGATTAAAAAATTCGTCTTGAAAATAATTTCTCAAAAGGGAGGAGAAACAAAAAAAAAACAAAAAGAAGAAGAAGTAATATCTTCCTCTCTATCTCTCTCGCTCACTATCTCTCTTTCTCTCTCTCTCTCTCTCTCTCTCTCTATATATATATATATATATATATATATATATATGTATATCTACATCTCTCTATATTTCTCTCTCTCTCACTCTCTCTCTCTTTCTCGCCCATTGCCTCGCTTTCGTCCTCGTTTCTTCTCGCACGTTGAACATCCGGCCGGAAATAAAAGAAATGCGCGTTCGAGTCCAAGGACCGTCGTCTCTAGTAGTTTATTTATTTCGTGATACGAAGAAGAAGAAGAAGAAGAAGAAGAAGAATAAGAAGATGATGATGAAGGAGAAGGGGAGAAAGAGAAGGATGAAGAAAACAATCTTGGTAAAGAAAAGAAATCAAAGAAAATGAAACATTAATCGTGAGCTGCGAGAGACTGTCTTCTAAAAACGTAAAATCGCGACGAGAAGAGGAGGAAGAAGAGGAGAAGGAGGAGGAAGAAGAAAAAGAAGAAGAAGATGATGATGAATGAAGAGAAGAAGAAGAAGAAGAAGAAGAAGAAAGAGAAGGAGAAGAAGAAGAAGAATTTTCGTAAAACCGAGAGAGAAGCGTTAAACTATTTTCTCCGTTAGACGCGCGCAGCCGTAGATAGTTTAATTATAACGATTCCCCCACCCCCTCACACATTTAGAGTAATTGTGGCGCGTGACGCCCGCTGATTGGTCGACGACTACGCATACGTCATCGCATTAATTCTTTAACGCGATGAATATTCGAGTTTGAAAATTTCCCGCTTGCCGTCGGCCAATCAGCGTAATCGTTACCGGTGCGTCGTCACGCCTGCGTACGACGTTGCTCGCGAGCGCTTATCCTCGTGCCATCTGTTAAATCGAAACACGAACTACGACTGGAACGAGCTCGTGTCGGTAAAAACGAGGAGATAACGTTCGCGAGCGACTTTTCGTTGATGAAATTTTACAAACGCAAACGAATGGTGTCCCTATTCGATTTCAAAGGTAATGACGTGATATATATATATATATACATATATATATATGTATATATGTATGTATGTATATATACAAAATAAAAGGAACAAAAAGAGAAGCAAGAGAGGAAATTACAAATAAAAAAAAAAAAAAGAAAAGAAAAAAGGAAAAAAGAATAGAATAACAAAGGAAAAAGAAAAGACACAATTAAAATTACGACAAATTCAAAGATAGATATATTATTCGCGCATGCTACGTTATACATATGTATGTATATGTACGTCCTACGATAAACGAATAGAATATCGTAAAAACGTCGTTCGTAAAAGCAATAGAATACGGACACCATTTCATCGAAAATTATACCTATGTAAGTAAGAGGGAAAAAGAAGAAGAAGAAGAAGAAGAAGATGAAGAAGAAGGAGAAGAAGAAAAAGAAGAAGAAGAGGAAAAGAAAAAAAGAAAACAAAAAGCGTTGGTAGCCCGTGCAAAAGATACCACGTATCCTCGCCGTCCCAATCCCTTATCCAGTTTATCGAGGTTATCCTATTAACCCCACTTCCCCCTCTCCCAATCCCTCCTCACTTCCTTGAAATCCTGAAAAATTGAAAAATCCCCGCCCAACGATATAAAGGTATAGGAAGAGTAATCGATAAGTTTATTGAGATTTTTAAATCAGAAGTCGACGTAACGACGCGATCGCTACTGTTAAGGATATTATATATATTTTTTGTAGAAACCAAAGACCACACACGCGGATCGTCGAAGGAACGAATTAACGTCGTTCGAAAAATGGCGCGTTTAACGTCGCGCGTGCGCGTGCGCGCGCGCACGCGCACGCGTGCTCACCCGGAGACATTTATTCAAATATCATGCGACTATATAATATGTACGTGTATATTCAGTGATGTTCTCTCTCGTGTTCTTTATTTCCTGTATTTTGTTCTTCCTTTTATTTTATTTTATTTTATTTTATTTTATTTTATTTTATTTTATTTTATTTCATTTGATTTTATTTCATTTCATTTTATTTCATTTCATTTCATATCATTTCATTTCATTTTATTTCTTTTCTTTCATTCTTTCAATCTTTCTTTCTTTTTTTTTTTTTTTTTTTTTTTTTTTTTAAGAAAAACATGACAAACGTACGCACGTTTCCGCCTCTTCTTCCTCCGAGCAACGCACACACACAGAATCCATTGAGATTTATCGTTTTGTTTTTCAATTACGAAATTGAAAAGGTGATAATAATTAGTGTGTCACGATGATAAATTATTTCTTAGTTTCATTTTTTTTTTTCTTCTTTTGTCTTTTTTCTTCTCTTTATGTTTTGTTTCATCTTTCTCATTGTCACATAAAATATAACACAAAATGGCGGAACGAAAGTACGAAGATTTGTAAACGTCGTTGACGTAGTAGTAACGTTTCTTTCTTTCTTTCTTTCTTTTTTTATTTATTTATCTTTTTTTTTTTGTTTTCTAATTTTTTCTATTTTTTATCTCTTTTCTCGCCTTTCTCCTTTTTTTTTTCTTTTCCTTTCTCTCTCTCTCCCTCTCTTTCTCTCTCTCTCTCTCTCTCTCTCTCTCTCTCTCTCTCTCTCTCTCTCTCTCTCCTTTTATCCGAGCCACCGATAAAATTTATTTTCGAGAACGAACGTCTAATTGCGAAAAAGGGAAGAATGTCAGATCGTTATCTCTATGTAACTTATTAATTAATAATAATTGTACACGTATGTGTATGTATATATATATATATATATGTATGTATGTATGTATATATATATATGCGTATCTATGTATGTATGTATATACGTACATATTCGTTGCGCGCTCGTTGTTATACGTTCCGTTTCGATTACTTTAAAACGAGGAAGTCGCTTGTCGCTTCCGCGATTTCGTTGGCCGTAACGAGCGAGCCAATTACGGACACACACTCGTAATTAATGGCTAACGTTATGTTAATGGTTAACGTTAACGAAGGAAGAGATCGCACGCGTACACACATACTTACACGTTCGTGGATTCCTATGCTTAATTAGTAATACTGTCGAGAGTTTTACCTCGATATTCGGAGACGCATCTTTGACGGACTTTGCATGGTTAAAAGAAAAACAAATAAAAAACAAATAAAAAACGTTAAAGTTAAATAATAGAAAACAAAAGAAAGAAAAGACAACATATCCTATCAAATTTAAAACAAACAAACCTACGAACTATTTTCAATACGATATTTAATTTGTCAATTTGTCGTATCGAAGTTTTCTTATTTTTTTTTTTTTTTTTTTTTTTTTTGTTTTGAGAAATTAAAAAGGAAAAAAAGAAGAAGGAAGAAAAAGAAAAAAAGGAACGCTCTTTTACGTACATACCTTCAAAAGAAATAAAAAAGAAGCATATAAAAAATCGAAGATCTTCACGGTAGATCTCTCGTGTTTAAACGTTGTTCCAATTGATCGGCGAAGATGCTTGTCACAATGAGAGGTTATGCTCGGGACGTAGATAAAGGAAAGATAATAATGAATGAATAAATGGAAAAAAAAAAAAAATTAATAATAAAAAAAAAGAATATAATAATCACAGATACAAAGAAAAAAAAAAAAACAAAAAAAGAATATAAGCAAAATTAGAAACACAATATGACTAAGTAATTTTTTTTTCAATAATTTTTCACTCACTTTTCACATTGTTATAATATATATATATATATTTATTTACGGAGAAAACGAAAAAAACAAAAAGAACACACGAATCGGTCCAATCAATTCGGCCCACTAACGTAATTGTACGTAAGTAAGTACGCGCGATGACGAACAACCGACATTTTCGAATTTCTTTCGCTCATTGATTTTTCATCATTGAAAAAAGCTTTTTAAATAAATCTATGATATATAAGTAATTACCATTGAAACAATCATGTAAAGTTGTTCTCGAAATTACTTTCGCGCAATAATATTTAACATCGTGGAATTTTTAAAAACGAACGAACATATTTTATTAACTATAATAATTGTCACTACGATGATCGTTGAATGATCATATATAGTATCGGCGATTCGTTATACGAGAAAATTAATTGTAATTAATTAATTAATTGAAAACGTTAAAAAAGGAAGAAAAAAAAAAAAAAGAAAGAAAAGAAAAGAAAAGAAAAGAAAAAAAGGGAAGAAAAAAGAAAGACGAAAAAAATGACGAGCGTCGTGCGAAGTACGGTTGCAAGAAAAAGAAAGAAAGAAAAAAAAAAAAGAAAAAGAAAAAGAAACAAGAAAATAATTACATCGACGAAGATTATTTCCTTTACGCGAATTCGATCGTTTTACGTTATACTCGTTTGTTTGTATTATGCAATATTAATTTACGAATTATTACGAAGACGCGACGAAAGAAGTTCGAAACGTGTTTTAAATATTATTTAATCATTTGAAATATTCACGTGGCTACGAGGTCCCCCTTTCGAGCAAGAGGACGACAATGGCGACTGTCGGTGGCCGCCAGAGTGCACGACGATCGTTGCACGTATCGTGTTCTCACGTTATTCAGATAGATAGAGATAGATAGATAGGTATAGAGAGAAAGAGAGAGAGAGAGAGAGAGAGAAAGAGAGAGTGAGAGAGAAAAAGAAGGGAGAGAAATTTAACAAAAAAAAAAACAAAAGCAAAAAGAAAGAAAAGGAAAAGAAAAAGAAAGGCGCGTTAATTGAATCAACAAGATCGTGCTTTCGTTTATTCTTCGATTTCTCTTTCGCGAAAAAGGAAAAAAGAAAAAGAAAAAAAAAATTAAAAAAATAAAAAACGTACATTTTATATTTACGATCAAAATCGTTAAACGATCACAATCGTTAATGATCGTTAATGATCGGCAATAGTAACAGCAATAGCAAACAATGACAACAACAACAACAACAACAACAATAACAACAATAATAACAATAACAATAACAACAAGGGACAAAAAAATAACAGAAACAAAGGAAAAGTACTGTTAAACGAAACGTTTATGACTCTTCTTCTTGTCGTCGTTGACTTCAACGTTTGTAGTCTCGCAGGCAAAGAGCTTTCTGGTCGATAACGAGGAGGGAAACGTTGGGTTGTTACCGATCGAAAAGGGCCACCTTTTGTTCTATCGTATGGAAAAGAGAAAAAGGATAACGAAAATGGTAAAAAAAAAAAAAAAGATAAATAGAAAAAAAAAAAGAAGCTAAACGGTACCAATGGCGGTCCCTTATCGAAAATATCTCTTCGCGTTTCACAAACAAAATATCATACGTTAAAGAACCACGGTCTCTCTTTCTCACCTTTGTAATCGACTAAAATGTGTCTGTGTATGTATTTTTACATTGTTAATTAATTCATTATTATATCGTAATAACGAATGATTATTATTATTATTATTATTATTATTATTATTATTATTATTATTATTATTATTATTATTCTTTTTATTTTCTATTATCGATAATCTCATTTTATTGTCACGATTATTATAATAATAATATTATTATTATTATTATTATTATTATTATTATTATTATTATTATTATTTCTATTAATATTATTATAAATATTATTACTATTATTTCTATCATTATGATTATCATCATCATTATCATCATCATTATCATCATCATAATTATTATTATTATTATTATTATTATTATTATTATTATTATTATTATTATTATTATTATTATTAATCATTATTATTTAATACCTTTATTATTTATTAATTATAACGTCGACCTATGTGTAATAAGTTTTGCCAAAGAACCCGTTTAGAAAAACAAACAAGAAAGAAAGAAAGAAAGAAAGAAAGAAAGAAAGAAACAAGAAGGAAAAGATTTTAAAAAGATGAAGAAAATGAAGAAGAAAAGGAAGAAGAAATGAAATAAGCAATATACGTAGTATATCGCGGTATTGATAACGTTTGTATTTGCATCCATTTAATGGAAGCGATAAACGAGGCACGATACACTTGAAAATAACTAAAATATCAATCAGATTCGAAAGGAAATAAAAGAGCAAGAGAGAGAGAGAGAGAGAGAGAGAGAGAGAGAGAGAGAGAGAGAGAGAGAGAGAGAGAGAGTGAAGATAAAGAAATGGTTAAAAAAAAAAAAAAAAATTAAATAGATAAAAGGGAAATAAGGTATATAGCGTAGAAGACGAAGATTAAAAAGAAGAAGGGAAAGAAGAATAAGAAGATAAAGAAGAAAAGGAATAGGAACGCGAGATAATCGATTCTCGCTAATGGCAACAAACAAATCGAGATTGTGAGTTTGCGAACGTTCTCGCGATTTGTGAATTTCGATTTGTATGTTATCGCTTATCAGCGTTCGTCCGACCACTCTCATCCATCCCATCCACCATCATTATCACCAACACCGTCATTACCTTCATCCTCTTTCTCCTCCTCCTCCTCCTGCTTCTCCACCCTCTACCCCGTCCGTTACTTCCGATCCAGCAACATCAGAAAGAATCCTGGCTCGTTTTCTCCATTTTTTTCCTTTTTTTTTCTTTTTTTTTTTTTTTTAATTCGATTCTCTATTTCTTTCTTCGTTTCTCTATTTTTTCTTTTTCGTTTTCTTTTTTCGTGTTGATTATTTTTTGTTTTCTCTTTTTTTGTTTTTTTTTTCTTTTTGTCTTTTTTCTTCTAATTTCATAGAAACCATATCCTTTCATTCTCTTTGCTTCCTCGTTCGTGTTAATCATTATAATAAAAATTCGCGAAAAATACGTACGAACGAACGAAAGGATGAAAGGACGAAAGAACGTAAGAACGAAAGAGAGAACGTAAGTAAGTTAAATAAATAAGTAAATAAGTAAGTACGTACGTACTTACAAATACGTACGTACGTACGAACGATTGAGCAAAAGAACGAACGAATGAGAACTAATGAATTTCTGTAAATCCTTTTTAAATAAATATTGAGAGGTTTATACGATGGCCTATATCGATATTCGGCCCGTACCCCATATCCGTTCGTTAATCGATCTTCCAAATTGAAATCGCGTTCGCGTGTGCGAAAGAATAACGAGAATCGTGTAATGAAAAAAAAAAAAAAAAAAAAAGAAAAAAAAAAGAAAGAAAGAAAAAAAAACGATTATGAGCTTTTACTAAAGGAGAGAAAGATTGAGAGAGAGAGAGAGAGAGAGAGAGAGAGAGAGAGAGAGAGAGAAAGATAGAGAAAGTACGATGTTATCTTTGCGTCGAAGACGATCCTTATCTCGATAAATGCGTTCCACCATTTTTAGCTTGTAAAGAGAGAGCGAGAAATAAATACTCACACATCATGTACCGTGGATTTTCCAATATCATCTTGTCAGAGAAAAAAAATTTCACCAACGTGCTACTCTATTCTTCTTTTCTTTTTTTACTTTCTTACTTCTCGTTTTTCTTTCTTTTTTTATTTTTTTCTCTCTTTTTTTTTCCTTTTTTTTCTTTTTTTTTTTTCTTTTTTTTTATTCATTTATTTATTTCTTCTTCCTCTTACTCGTTTTCTATTTCGTTTTCGTTTTTAAATACAAATTATAAATGTCCAAAACGAAAGTCCCATTTATTTATTGTCGAATTAAAGAAATATTGGAGGGAAACGTGAAAGGTCCGATTTTTCTACTGATACATGTAAGTATCGCATGAATCATTTAACATTAGATCACGAAATTCATTTGATATACGTTAGAATATTAACGAAAGCGCTTTTCATGGGGGGTTTTTTCTTTCTTCTTTAATTTGTTTTTTTTTTTTTTTTCTTTTTCAAGTATACATAAAATATAATATTTCCATCCGATTTACATAAGAGTTAATTTATTATAATTATTTGTATATTTTGAATATGTATATTCGATTCGATTTGAACATCTGTACATAATAATTAATAGATACATACATACATATATGTGTGTGCATATATATATATATATATATATATATACATATACATATATATATATGTACACACCGGTGGATAGATTTCTATTCTTACAACAAACTTCATAATCGATTAATGCTAGTATTACGTTCGCAATGAACGAACGCGAACACGTTATTCATGTTCCATCTTATTTGTTGTAAATGTAACTCTCAGCACCGCCTCGTCCAAAGCCTGAAAGAATTAAATAATTTCAGGTTTAATCAAGATCGAATTTATAAATTAAATCGATTGATTGATTTCGTTTTTCTCTTCTTTTGTTTTTTTTTCAATTTTTTTTTTCTTTCTTTTTTCTTCCGACTTTTTTCAGATAGATGTAAGAAAAAATTCAGTGTTATATTTTACATACACACATACACACACACACACACATACACACACACAGAGAGAGGCATTTTATGCCACATTATTATAGGAATATTTTTTTATTATTATTAATTAATTAATATTTACCTCCAGGTCCGAATAGGGCCGAATAACAGGGATGATTACAATAAGGTTTGCCCTCGTGTTCCGCATGGCTACCGGGCGTCAACGTCTTGTTACATTTCTCACATCTTAGACACG